TTCCGAAAATTTCAAATTTTAAATCGCAAAAATCAAGAATCTCAAAAACTGAGAAAGTATCAGGAGAACATGATCAGCAAAGAGGTGGCACTATCTAAATTCCAAGAATTTTTCGAGAATCCGGATAACCGAAAAAGTATCAGGAGAACAGGATCAGCAAGGAGGTGGCACTATCTAAAATTCCAAGAATTTTTCAGCATTTCCAAGAATTGGAATTCCGAGAATTTCAAACTTCAATTCGCAAAAATCGAGAATCTCGAAAACTGGCAAAGTATCAGGAGAACATGATCAGCAAAGAGGTGGCACTATTTAAATTTCCAAGAATTGGTATTCCGAGAATTTCGAACCTTAAGTCGCGAAAAAAGAGATTCTCGAAAACTGGCTTATGGCTATGAGTACTATTACTTCTACTAGTCCACAATCTTGCTTTAAGAAGCCCGTAAGAAATTGACCAATTACAGTCTGAAGTGAGGAGAATAATCGCTTGTAAATGATCAATTACTTACGGCTTAAGGCTTACTACACCTATTGTAGACCCGGCCTAAAGCAAGGACCAGTGGTATGCTTCGAAGCTTGGTGCGGTGTCCGCGAGTCCGCGGTGTAGTACAGTGTGGCGTCTTTTGCACTTTCGTCCATGCACGTGTGGGTGTTCGTTTCGCCGATGCTGTAACGGATATAACCAGATATAACGCTGAAAGAAGATGAATTTAGACGCGAGACCGTCGAATCCGTTCGAAATTATAGTAGGGACGTACGAGCAATATTTGCTTGGCTATAGAGTGCACAACATCGTAAATGTAAGTATATTTCGTCACGTGCTTCGTGTACAGGTTAAGTTTTTCATGGCACGAACGAAGCATGACACAAAAGTCGAGACATATCGAAGAAAGACGCTTCTGTTGATCACGTGTTTGTTCATTTATATATTTGTTTGATTACGTGTTTGTTCATTTATATATTTATACGCTTGTTGCCTCGTAAGATTAAATAATTATTTAAGATGTCCCAGAAAGAAAGTCGTGTCTTCGATCGAGGTCTCCACTTTAAATGAGAGACCTTTAAGTCTGATCTACAATGTGCTCTCTTGGTCTAGAAACATTGTTTTATATAAGCAAATGAAAACGCTTGAAACTTTGTCGACGAAGTACGATTATACGATGCATAATGTACAATTTATCAACTTGCACAAATTTTTTAGACATATTTATTGGCTACAAAATATAATGCTTCTAGACGCAAAAAGCATATTGTAGATTAGGTTCGGTTTCACCAACGTCGACTTTCAGCTTAGCTCAATTCGTTCTTTGTCTCTTTTCAGCTGTTACTTTGGAAAGAGACAAACATGAATTAAACTAGGATTAAAGTTAAGCGACGTTTGGTGAAACCCTTACATTAATCCTGTTAAATATCAATATTTCAGATTAAGATTTCGCTTTTCTTTCTCATTCTTAGGAGTACAAAATAGAGAAGAGCTTCGCGACACACAGCCATGTCGCGAGTATACGCAGTATCGCCAGCAGTAAATACCACCTGGCTTCAGCCGGTGCCGACGAAACGGTATGTCTGTACGACATGCGTTACAGACGCGAGTCCGGCAAACTGATGCATCACAAAGGTAGGCGAGCACACTCTATTCTTATATATTTCAATGTAATCAAATAAATTATATAGATTTCTATTGTAAAACTCTATATTTCCTTTGCAGATACTATCAATTGCCTCGCGTTCACTCCGGAAGGCTCGCATTTGTTCGCGTGTGGCAACGACGGAAGTATAACCGCCGTTCGTTGCGGCAATTGGCAGCTGGAAAAGGCCTGGTCGACTGCGCACAAAGGCACGGCCGTCAACACGCTGGCTATTCATCCGACGGGGAAGCTGGCGTTGTCCACAGGCGAGGACGGCGTCCTTAGAACGTGGAACCTGATTAAGGGCAGACAGGCTTACGCTATTAACCTGGTACCGAGACTGAAGTCCAACGCCAAATGGATTACCATTGTCAAGTGGAGCCCGAGCGGTGAAAAATATCTGTTGGGCGTCAATGGAAGTATCTACATTTATTCCGTTGAAACGGCCGGAGTAGATAGGGAACTCACGTTCGACTCGAAAGTTATTTGCGTTGAGTTCCTGAAGGATGACTTGATCGCGGTTGGTTTCGAGAACGGGGAGATAAAGTTTTGCGATCTCAAAACCTCCCTGCATACGATAAACACGAAGGCGCATAGCATGCGAGTGAAATGTATCGCGCATATGAACGATCTGTTGGTTAGCGCCTCCAGCTCCGGAGAGATCAAACTTTGGAGGTACAATAAACATAGCTTGGATGTGCTGCAAACCGTTAACTGTGGTGCTAGAATCACTTGCCTCTCTTTGGCGCAAACCTACAAGGATTTTGTGCAGCAGAAAGAAGTCAAGTCGGAGGAAGAGGAAGAGGTAAAAAAGAAGAACAGACTCAGGCTGAAGCAGGAAGTTATTATCGTGAACGAAGAGGATTTAGAAGTCGTTGAAAATACTAAAGAAAAGGCACAAGAAAAGAAGCGTAAAAAGAAAACTATAGAAGATATTGAAGACAATGTCCAGCATTCAAAGAAGCAAGCTCCAAAAGTACAAAAGGCTGTCGTTTCAAAGAAAAAGAGGGACAGGTCGTTAGAGATGGAAGGTGTCATCGATAAACCCAAAAAGAAGAAGAAACTCTTAAAAGCGAATGAGCTAAATCCTTCTAGTAAAAAACGGAAAGAGAGTAGCGTCGTACCACGGGTCACTTTGCTAGCGAAGAAGATTAAAAAGTCGAATAAAGTTGAAGAGCCACCTCTCACTCGCAGGAAACACAAAGTAGAATTACCAATGACGGATGTCGAGGATGCTCCGCCTAGAAAAATAAAGAAGAAAGCGAATGCGGAAAAGCGAGTTGTGCCGAAAAAGAAAAAGAAGAAAATAATGGGATAAATTAGGATTCAATTGCGAGAGGAGTCTCTTTATAAAAGTTATTATTCTTCTCATCGTGTGATATTTACATGATAAGCTTAAGAATAAGAATAGAATGCCTAAGTGCTTAATAAATTACTCACTAGTTCCTATAATTATAAATCAGTCTATTTACATTTTCTTAGACTTATCACTGCACCAACGCCTTCATCTGTCACTAGAGATTAGATCTAAACGAGATAACAGTTTTTAGGCGCCGTTACGTTTCGTACCGCTCGAAATAATGCGAAGGATGTCTACCACAAGATGCACTTGTGCGACGGGTTCATTGGACTACCGAGCGGGCACTTCCAGGCCTTCGCGAATTCCGCATTGTTCGACAGCGTGCCGATAACTCGAAAGTGATTCGGTGCGTGGACGCCTTCTATCACTTTAGACTTCAACGCTCCGTTTGTATAATTGCCGCACCAGACCTTAAAAGATATTAGCTTATCAATCTTGCAAAGTTTTATACGCCAGAAAGAACTACGAAAGTCTCATTTGCGAATTAAAGTTCTTCGCGAATTTAACTGATGCTTACATAGACTTTTATAAATAATTTCTTATTAGTTTGACAAGAGAAAAGAATCACCGTTTCGATGATTTTAAACTTTTGTAAATCTGTCATACATGTGCAAAGTTTTTATAACATATTTATGTAACAATATGTACAACGGTCTTTTTCTCTTCATTGTTAATGTTATGTAATAATAATATATTAAATATGTATTGTACAGTATTAAGTTTTTTATTGCTATTTAAATACCCCGTTCAGTACTATTAAATGTTACTTTTTCAAGAGAAAAAAGCTTTGATCTCATGTATGATTCTTTTACGAAACATACTAAAAATTTAATAATTTATCGAAGAAAAACTAATTATATTATTTTTGCAGGGTTGGGAGAAGCGCGATTATATTCTTTTCTCTTTTTTTTTACCTGCGCAAAACCCAAGAAGAACAATTGCTCGTTGCTGTAGTCGACAAGACCAGGCAGAGCTTGTTGATAAGGACTGCGTGCAATCAGCCTCTGATACGCCCTATAAGCTTCCCTGATTCCGCCGTTGTCGGCGATATTTTCACCCTGAGTGTTGATACCGTTCACCTGAAAATCAGAAGGCGAGTCGAATGACTGAGCGCGCGAGCAAGGAGCGCCTTGGCTTCTTTCTCGGTGTCAACGAACAAAACGGATACGTTGCTACCGTGTGAGGCTCACCGTGAAATTATCACCGAGCTCCGGCAAATGATAACTGCTGTACTGCTCGATCATACATTGCACTTTCTCGTGATAGTGTCGCAACGTCTCGTCGCTCCACCACTGCCGTAGATTACCGTTTTCATCGTACCGGCGACCTGACACAGAAAATTCAGGTATTATTGCGGATATGCGGGCATCGTGGTGTTAAAGAGATAAAGGCGGAGGGCGAGTGGCCGTTTTAGCGATATTATGTAACACGCGTCGCATCGCCGATCACGCACCTTGGTCGTCGAAACCGTGCGTAAGCTCGTGCCCCATAATCGCCCCCATAGCGCCGTAATTAATGGACCTGCAATGCGCAATGTTGGAGCTTAGCGATTTGCGATAACGAGTCGCACGTAAAAACGTCACTTCGTTTGCGTGAACTCATATCTTTCGAGTCTTGAATTAAAATTCGCAGCACTTTGATAAGTAACTTGCGGCTGATACGTACGTATCATAGAATATATGTATATAAATTTTCGCTTGTCAGGCGAATATATCTTAATTATAATTTTCGTGCATTCTATTACATTTTGAAATTTATGAGTTTCTTAAAATATGAAATAGAATACGACACTCGGCCATATCAGAATTTTATTGAGCAATGCAGAGCAACTAGGACTATTCGCTGCGAATAAGGAACTGACCGAGTAAAATATGAGTTCATGGAAATTTGGTCGTATCTGTAAAACATCTATACGTACTCCAGTCCATTGCCGTAAAACGGAGGATGCAGGATGCCAGCTGGAAAAGCTAAGAACACGCATTCTTTTTACCTTCTAAACAAATTGGTATTGTAAAGTGACCATGATGGACCGTGCGTGTTAATTAACAATTTAGCTTTGGTTAGAAAGCTGGCATCAAGACACTTACTGACTGAGTTTAATATCGCGCTGTAAAACGCGTTTACTGTCGTGCCCGTCGATATCCATCTGCTTCTGTCGGGCTTCTCGCGCAAATTATTGAAGCTCTTTTTCATCGCGACGTCAGTCAACTTGAGGAAGGTCGCGAACAGCTTCCCGTCGATCACCTCCACCTAAACGGGCATTGCAGTTTCCACAGTTGGATTAGAATGTAAATGTACTTTGTAATCGTACGCAAACGCGCGATATCTAGAGAGTACTCACTCCTTCGTAAAATTTGTCTAACTCCTCTGAATTCGTGATCCAGTCGGGAAATCCCACAAACGGCCGCATCGCGTGTAATTTTCTATGGGCTCGAGCTCTCGTGCCAGCATCCATCCAGTCCAGCTCGGTGACCATCTCGTCGAACGCCGCCCTGATATCCAACAGCATCTCCAACGCCTATTGACAATGATCAACAATGATTAAGTTATTAATTATTGTTCTATCCTCCCGTGTTTGCTAGAGAAATATTAGATAATAATCAAACTTTTTAGTCGACATTAACCGGCCAGTGTTTTTAATACAGAAAATGGACGAATTGGTGATACGCTCGTCTAGAGAGTAGGGAAATCCAGGTTCAAACCCTGGCTGAGGTAATATTTTTCGCAATAAATTTTCTAGCTAATGTCGACTAAAAAGCTTGATTATTATTTATTACTGGCAACTTAAAGAGATTTCTATGTTTAAATATTAGATAAGCTCGAGCTTAGAGTATCTCGTAGATTAGGGGTCGGCAAACATTGGCCTAGATAATAAATATTCCGAACTTTGTAGGCTAAGAAGATAGTGGACAGTTACTTAACAAGAGACGAGATCTCCCGCAAATTTGTTATTGACGAAATTAAAATTTTGGCTGCACAAAGATGCCTCAGCTTGCCTCCGCCGTAGAATATTTTAAGAATACTAATCACCGCACGTGCAATCGCGGACCTTTTCTCGTGCCTGCTCGTTAAAGTGCCTTTGTGCATAAATGTAGCTCAGCGCCATGCCGAAGTTCGCGTTGGCGTTTCCGGTGCACCCCTTCCAGCGCGGTGTCTTCTCCTTCAGGCCGAAGATCTTCTGCGAGAACTGGAAGCCGAGATCGCGGAACTTCTGCAGCGTCAGGGGAGCAACGGTCGCGTATACGCTCCACCAGACGTATCGCACTGAAAAATCGGCTCGACGTTATTTATCGTTGTTTATCGGCGCGTAATCGCCGCCAGCCGTTTTGAACGCGACGGAACAATCGCGGACTTATTTCTACAGATACGGTGCAGCTTCCGATAGCTTCTGACCTTTTCTCGCCATTCTTTTCCTTCCCCTCCGATATTATCCGTTATGGATTATCGACACTCGCAAGCGTCTTCGTTGCCTCAACAATCTTTAGTAATTGTAATTGAATGGAAGAAGAAGCGAAGCTTTTGTGTTGCAATACAATTTATGCAAGAGCACTTGAGGCTTCTTCTTTCTTTCGCGCTGTTATCAATGAATTTATTTGTCACTTCTATCAATTTATTGCTACGTTTACTGCTAAAAATTATTTCGTGAAAAAGAGATTACGCAAATGGTACAGGTGACGTGAACTCAGAATTTACTTTTTAAAATCCTTTATGAATTCGCATAACCTGTCCAAAATAAACTTTAAAGAGTTCCTTTCTAGTGTTTCTCATAGAGTATAAAATGAATTCTTCTGGTATCCGAAACAAACTGGAGAAACAATTGGTGACGTATAGAAGTGAATTCTTTTTCAATTTTTAAGAACGTTTTCAAAATTTATTTCGTAATTCGGAAATTCAAGAGAAATTCTTTTCGAATAAATAAAAACCACGAATTTCTTTCTAGTGTAAATTCTTATAAACTATAAAATAAATTCTTTTTGTATCCAAAAAAAGTCTCCGAATTGGTGACGCCAGCGAATTTTTTCTAAACTTTTGAAAACGTTTCCAAGACAGAAATAAAGTGGAAAAAGAATTCATTCCAACTCGGAAATTCCACAGAAATTCTTTTTGAACTCGCTGTACTATTTGAATAATGGAAACCGTGCGAAAGCCATTCGATGTACGAACGCAAAGAGGGATGCTTCGCATTGCGCAGTTCTCCCTTCCTATCTCTCTCTCTCTTTCTCTCCTCTCGCGTAAATGAACATAAGTGGAAAAGCAACGGTATATGCGATGCAGGTTGGTCGAGTACGCATCAACGCTAAGTGACAATCGTATTCGTTTTGACGAGGGTGCGAAATTGGACGTACCTATCGTAGCGGGCGGGGTGATGGACAGGAGCAGCGGCAATTTCTGCAAATACTGCAGGTCCACGACGATAACTCGATCCACAGCCGGATTTATCGTGACGTTCGTGTTCTCGAAC